AAGAAACTTCATAAGTTTATGTATAAGGGGGGGGGTCGTACCGAACCTCCAAAAAGGGGGGGGGGTCGTACGGGCTCGACCAAAATCCCCAACTAATGCTGTGCCCTGGGTGTATTTCGTCATCACATGTGTGTGACGTGTACATGATACTCTTTCACCACACTAGCTATCACTCACCCACCCTGCATTTGCAGGCTACAATGCCGCACAATTACCAGTGCAAAACCATGTCACAGTGGTGATTGTGCGGCATTGTGGCCTTCTTCGGGTCCCAGCCCCGTCCTTCTGGGACGATGGAATCGACAAGCTGCCTGAGCGTTGGCGTCGAGTAGTGGATGGTGATGGTGCATACCCAGGGTACAGCATGGGGATGTGCGAAATGGCCACAGAGTACGACCCCCCCCCTCCAAGTGGGTCCAGTTACGACCCCCCCCTCCTGCACAAATGTTCCAAATTTGCCTGCTTTGCTATGATTGCTTCCTAAATAACTTTTTTTTCAGGCGGCAACGAGATCTACAGCCAACTACTCGACACTCAGTGGGAAGAAAAGAGCTTTTGCTCCCTGTGAATACACCTAATAAAGTTTTTTTCTCAAATGTGTCCCACTCCAAACAAGAAACACCGTTCTTGATAGACAGTTTATTGAAACTAAAGAAGAACAACAATTCCTTCAACAGTCGAAAAAAACAACAAAAAAAACAACTTCTTCAACAGTTGGAAAAAACAACACCTATATACATACTTACAAATTTTGACCCTAAACAAAAACACCTCAAATTAAGATTCAACGAAGCACAAAAGTAACACCTTCTTCACTGTAAGGAAATAATTAAGGAAAACAACAAAAATGCCCCTCGTCGCTCTCTCTCCCTCACTGAACTCGCCTTGAAGTCTTTTTCTCTCCCTCCCCTTTTTTCTCTCCCTCCCCTCCCCTCTCAACTCGCCTAGGACTCCCCTCCTTCCGTCCATTCCTCCTCCCTCCCTAAAATAACTCGCCTAGAGGAGGCTTTCGCCCTCCCTCCCTCCCTGTCTCAGTGAACTCGCTCAAAGAAGGCTTCCCCCTAGAGAACTCTAGACTTCCCCAAGACTTTCCCCTCCCTCCCTCACTATAGAGTCGCCTAAGGATGACATGATCGTTTTCCGCAAAATGAATGATCGTTTCCATGTTTCGCAGGCCGCATTGTTTCGAGTCGATTTGTTTTATAAACTTCCGGGTACATTTTTCTGATAACAAATCAACTTTGAGCTTCGTACAGATACAACATCGCACTCAAATAAAAAGCCTCGAACATGAAACAGGATACTTACTAAACTCAAAAAAACTCTTTACATTTGCAGACCTTCGTACGAGCGACGATGCGCGGAAACACGGAATAAACCACAGTAACCACAAAAGAACGTACCGGAAGGTAGCGCCAAAAACAACACTTCAAAACAAATTTTCTTTACAAATGCAACTTTCGCATGCAAATAGAAACCTGCCGAGCTAAAAAAATCTTTACCTGTGCAGAAAGGCGAACGAACGACGATACTGCAACGGAGTAAATCACAAAAAACAGAATCAATCACAAAAAACAATGTACCGAAACGAAACGCCTAAAAACGACACTTCAAAACAAAAAAAAACGCAAAAAAGACAGAAACCAGAAAGAAGCGCCTAAAAACAACACTTTAAACAAAAAAACAACAACACAAAACACATACAAACGCAAAAAGCAGCAGTAATCTTCGGGACAAGGCAGTTCCAGCTGAAGAAGGCAATAATGCGGCGAGCTATCGCGCTGCAGCCGCTTTCATTCGTTCATTCTTTGTCATTGGAGCACGGTAGTAAGCCAGAAGACCGTCCTGGAGTCTTTCGGAAGATTATTATTCTTTCAGATACGGAGCTTTTGAGGAAGTGTAAGCAGCATGCTACGGAGGTCCAATTACAGTTGAGTTTTCTACCTAGTTGCAATCTGAATGTTCCCCCGTTGGTGAAATATTCGGGATGTGTGCGCCTCGTGCAAGCGGTAATTCGCAAGCGGGTTTTTATGCTTCACACAAGAATTGCTTATTTCAAACGCAGTTTCATCAGGGTTAAAATCGTCCTGGAAAGCCCCATCTTTTCTCTTTCCAATAAGCTTTACAGTTTTCCTGAAGACCCGCTAGTTCAGGAGATATTTTAGATGGGCCATTCTCACGCCTACCCTTTGAACCACCCGAATGATCGGCTCCTGCTGTGAAGATACACCTTCGAAAACTTTGTGAAAATGTTTCTCCGGAAAACGTATCCCTGTCTAATTGAGGGGTAGAAGAGCCTCGTTATTATCGATCTCGTGCGTGCGCGCCATGCATCCGATTGCCGCTCTCAAAGACGGAGGCGTACGAAGGGCTCTACAAAATGACTTCATCAAGAGGATGTCTTCAGAGTCATAGAAACATGAGTCGTAATCCCTCATCCATGCGTACCCATCAATGCTGCAGACCCCTAAAGTGCATTTATTCAACGTCACTTAGTCATTCGATTTCCGTCTGAAAGCTCATCCGTGCCCGTTTGTGTAGCGGTTAGACGTCGCCTTTCTCTCTCTCTTTATTGATTTCTTTTTTTTCTTGCTGTCGTGGCGACGCCGAACCGCTACGCAAACGCGCGCGGATGAGTTTTTTCCCTCCTCCGGCGCGCCCCTGCTTCGATTCCTCACAGCGCGCTACGCGCTCGCTATTGCTATCCAAGTCCTCCTCGCGCTCGGGTTCCTTATCCTACCTTTCCATGCCTTTACGGATTGGTTTTCACAGGTTTCCTGTTCTGCGCATCTCTGTTCCCTCGCTTCAGTCGTAGTTTGCTATTCCACTTATTAACTATTGTACGGATTTCTGTTGATTCATTTACACCACGCCAATGTACATGGACCACACGGTTGTAGCTGCATTTTTCCTGTTGGGAGTCGCCATAAGATTTTCTGTAGCGGACCACACGACCTGCCACCCTATCTCAGTGAGATCTCTTCGCTCAGTTTCGCGACATCTCACGCGACACGCAATTCATTGAACTTTCATTGTCTGAAGCATGCCATAAAGGACACAGTCAACACCTGAATCTGAATAAGTACGGACTGCTTGTTCTGGAAACAAGGCCTATTTTGGTAAGATTTTAGTATTTTGACAATCCATGTTAGTATACGTGAAGTGAAAAGTTTCGTCGACTTCAACAATAAAAAGTGGGAGAAGAAAAAGGGGAAACTGGAAGACTTCTACGTTGTTGGCAGTTCGCTTGAGGAAAACTCTCGTATTGATTTCAAATTCTACGAATTCAGTGAGAAAGTAGCCAAGTGTTCGCGTTCACAAACTTCATCAAGGGGCTAGCTTCCTGGGCAGTGACCCCTGGCTTAGATGAAGAACCCTTCCGTTTTGCTATGAGACGGATGGTAGCGCTTTCTAGCGATGGAGCTTCTGTAATGTAAGGTGTTCGCGAAGGTGTCCATGCGCAGTTGAAGCCAACTTATTGGAAAAGAAACACAAATGCCGAAAACGAGAGCAATTTTCGTCCTGTCTATATGTAGTGCCACAAATTGAACATTGCGTGGTCAAAAGCGATAAAAGGAGCCGCCCATTTTCAACCTCACACAAGCAGTTGTCACTGAAATGCACAATATATTCGGCTCCACTCTAGGCACACGAGCACGTGCTATTTACTTCGCGACTGCTACAAACATGGGATTCCCTCACCTGCAAATGGATGCCATACACCTAGTACGGTGGTCAGCAAGCTTACAGGCGTCACTGTCAAAAATACTTCGTATGTATCCTGCTTCTTGTCCATGCCTTTGTATAGCCAGCTGGACCACAGACAGGAACCCTCATCTCCAAATCCATCGAAAAAAAAAACGTGCTAAAGGCAGCAAGCGTTTCGGCTGAGCGATGCCTCGGCGCAACGTCTCATGTATCTTGGCATCACCGTCAACGCGACATTTCCTAGCTTCGCTAGGTTTTCGGAGGCCCTTCAAGATGAGGAAGCACTTATGGTTGATTTTTTGTCCCGTTGGAGGCAGTTGAGTTCAGCACTCGAGGACGACTCTATAAAAACAACTGTGTATCACTATCTTGCTCGCAGTGGCTTTCTTCAGAAGTGGGATCAGAATCAAAATAAGTATGTCAATCCTGATCAGAATTTTCTGAGAGATTACTGCATGCCTCGAACTCCAGTCGAGAATCTTCGCCCTGAATCCTCGCAAGTTTCCGACAAGCCCGGCTCCGCAGTGGCAACGCGCCAAGTTCAGGTGAACATCAAACAAGAAACAGCTGACCCACTCCGTCCGTGTGCAGATTTTTAGGAATCCTGCTGTTATAAGCGGATCATACAGTGAGCAACATTCTTCTGGTTCTGCACCCCTCATGGAGGATGCTACAATCGATGACGCATTACTCCCTAGCTAAGGCCTGCTACCGATCCAGATTATGGCTACATTGTCAAACAGAAGCCTTCTTATGCGATAAACTTCAGCACGGAGATCCACGCACCAAGCTCGGCATATATGGACTTCCGCCAGCCGCCATTACACGACACCGCTTACCTTTCCATTATATGCGCCCTTACAGGCACATTCTTTCTTTGAACATTATTAGAATTGCCAATGGTGACTACGAGAATTTCAAGGACTGTGTTTTGCCAAATACTAGCCGAGAAAACCGCGGCTATCCTGACTACATAGACAAAGAGGGAAATGTGGATAAAGACCTCCGCCATCAGCGTATTTGGCAATCTGTTGTTGAAATACAAACACTCTGCTCCCTGACCGATGCAAAAAGGCACTTCACAGAGTTCTATGATTCCTATTGCTAAAGAAGTACGTATGTTGAATGACTGGCCGAGAAATCTTCGCCACGACAAGGACAGCATACGACTCTATCAAGAGCTGCTCAACAGGGCCGACGTACTGAAGATCCCCCATGCTGTGCGTCAGGTGAAAGAGTTGCATGTATTCTTATTTTATGTTGCTATTTCACCGTTCCGTTTTAAGGCCCTGAAGTGCTTGCTTGTTCATTCCTGCAAGCAATGCGGACCCCGAACGCAGTTTTTCCACGGTAAATAGACTCACACGAACCGATCGGAACAACCTGGGAGTTCCAATGTTGGATGCTCTAATGAGGTAGACTTTTTATTCATTTCGGCGGTACTGCATCATTTTCTGGAGTGTTATCATCTCTTGACAACTCAACTGTTCCAGGGTACACAGAGACGGACCCAGCCTGCTCACTGTTAAGCCGAAGAACTTAGTCCGACAGTGGATGACTCCGCTTCCTGGCCTGGACCTTCGTCCCCACATGCCCTCCACTTTTCGTTAGATCGGATAGTTTCATGAAGGACGTTGAAAGATGCCATGCTGAAAGGTACCATTCCTCCTACATGTTCCTTCTCAGTGGTGAGTAGCACATGCAATTGCAGGAGACACAGATGCGCTTCTGGATCTCTATGTCACTCATTACATGACCAAGAATCGATTAAACGATAGACATGACGCCCAAAAGATAATCAAACTGAGACGGGAGCTCGAAACTTCCAAAGCAATGATTTTTTCTTCAGGAGTTCTCCACGACAAGGATGTCTAATAAATTTTTTTATCATTTAATAGTGATACAACAGCAACACAAATGCCATTAATCACATGTGATCTATCTTGCCGTCTAAATTCACTGAAAGGAAAGTCTTCTATCGAGCTCCGAATGAAGGCTTTGAAATAAGCTTCGTGAACCATCGACTTTCTTATGGAAGAAGGCTGATGAACGGATAAACCTGAAAAAACTGCTCATAAAATTTTTCACGTTTTTTTTAGCATTACGGCTTTCATAGCTCCACTCATCTTATCAACTGAAATGTCATAGCGTTGCCCGGTGCTCACTGACCCTTAGATTACGACCCCCCCTCCCCAGCGGCCAAGTACGACCCCCCCTATGGGTTTCGCACAACGATGCTGTACCCTGTGCATACCTCTAATCTTCAGGCTGGTTCGCTATTGAGATATGAGATATTTAAAAAAAGTGTGGGGAATGGGGAAAAA